AAACATTTGAAAGCAACATTTGAAAGAAACAGAGGGTATATTTAGTGGAAAACAATAAAGCACGAGAAAGAACTCTGGCATTAATCACAAGAAGAATGAGGTACTTGAAGAATTCTTTAAGCCAGGAAGGAACAATTATTAGGGTAAAGTACAGCCTCGGGGAACACGTATACAAAATAGGCTACTTCTAGTTGTGAGCAGAGGGGTGTTTGACAGTTAATTATTGAGCTCATCAAATTTATTGTACCCCTACTCAGAGCAAAACTGATAAACTATGTCATATCCTTCAGTTATGGACAATTTTCCTGTTTCAGAAGATTAGACACTGACCAAAGAAAAGGAAAATTTGTATACACGTTTTCCTTTGTTTAAGTTTGAATTCCTCACATCAATGGGATAATTTCCAGAGGAGATAATGCCAGCAATTACCAGTTGAGATTCAGCCATTTTTCGTCATCTTCTTATTTGTGCGAGAATGCAACGACACATTCTATATTTCAAGATGTAGAAAAAAGTGCTGATAATTTTGTGATATTGCGTACAATTCATACTGTGCAATTTTCACAAAAATGGCCAAGCCCGAATATAAAAATAGAGATTAAAGTCTAAGATTTCAGCTGAGAAATACAGTTGGGATAAGTTATATCCCCGAAAAGTAGACTAAATACTGCAAAAGAATGTGTGACATGTACAAGTTTTCCTGGATAGAAATATTTACTACTTTGTCTAATGAACCAATGTTAGCCGAAAAAAGTAAACCTTTCATCAAACCTTTCATTGGAACTGTTAAATCTACTTGCCTGAATGATAACTCGTGACTGTTAAACATGAACAAGCATTGTCCTTTGTCTTCTTTAGTAAGAAGCATTAAGCTATCATTCCATTACACGATCAATAGTAAGTACATACCAGGATTTAAAATGTATTATTGATTTTACCATTTCCAGAGTATGATAAAAGCCTTTTTCCACACACAACTCACTTTCACGTGTTAGAGCTCTCTCCAGCCTCGTTTTTTGTGTGGATATTCTCTTAAATAGAGCCCAGAGTGGCAGAGTTTCTTCAAGGGACGGATGGTAACAAGATGTCTACAAACAGGACCGAGAAAACGTTTGGCCTGATCGACACTGACACGTACAACTTAGTCAACAACATTGTTTTGTACGCATTTTCGTTCCCGATAAGCCTTTTCGGACTCGTGTCCAACGTCATCAATGTAGCCGTGTTCTTGAAAATGGGAGTGAACGATCCAGTATCTGTGTCACTTTTGGCTTTATTCGTTGCAGACTTCATCTTCTTGCTTTTAGCCACATACCGTCCCATAGCTCAAAGCCTCCTTATGTCGGGAGCAGCGAGAAATTTGATCATTCACCCGGCTACACTTGGACAATATGCCGCTAATTTCACATATATCTTTTATTTCGTTTCGACTTTGTTAACCACATATATATCCCTCGCTAGGTGTCTTTGTGTCGCCTTAGCCTTGAAATTTCAGCGCATATTCACCATGAACCAAGCACGCGTGGTAGTGGTTTCCATCTATGTATTTGCTGTGCTGTCTCACATCCCGCAGATTCTCTCAAGAAAACTTGTCTGGCATTCGAAAGACAACAGCACCGACTCCATCATTGTCTTGGAACATGCGCCCTATTATGAGGAGCTCTCGGCTTTTCACAACATCGTCAACAGAACGTCGGTTCCGTACTCTTGTCTGGCTATCTGCGTATTGTGTTTAATTGTTTTATTGGCTAAACTAAGATCTGTGACCAATTTTCGGGCCCAGGCTACTTCGGTGGTGAAAAGTCACGTCAGATCTGAGAAGCCTCATAAGGACAGTACCACAACTCTGAGCATAAAAGAGCTCCAGCTGATAAAGGCTGTTTTCTTTCTATGTGCCGTATTTGTCTTCTCAGCTTCAGTGAGGGCAACCCTCGGGTTAGCTTTATTGTTTCTTCCAGAGCTTGAAACAGACGAAAGGTATCGCAAGCTGTATGTTCTTTGCGTGGGCATAGTGGTTGCTGTCATGTCGTTCAATTGTGCGGTAAACTTCTTCATTTTCTACAGTTTTAATACAAAATTTAGACAGACTCTTATAGTGTGCTTTCTTAAAAAAAGCGCAGGAAAAGTTGGCAAAGGCTAATATACAGATACGAAAACTTTTCGGACTGTGATCACGAATGACGAGAAGCTGATAAAAACGTAGTTGTTTCTGCCTTTACGAAACTGTTTTGTCTTTAGGACGTCGTTTGTATGGACGTACCGAGTTTGAAGGACAAGAACATGGACACATTAACATCGAGACATTTACTCAATTTGAATGGTTTTAGTGGTAGCTTTCATTCCTGTAAAATGTGTAGTAATAAACTTTCTGTAGCATAATTTGAGTACTCTCCCCTTTTTTTGTTGTAACGTAATATAATAATACTAAATAATAAATTGCATTTAAATAGCGCATTTCCACAAAGAAGTGCTCAAAGCGCTGTACAATAATACAAAGAACATATGAAGCGCATAGCTCCTATAGTAATCCTCTTTCTCTTTCTCTCTCTCTCTATCTCTCTCTCTCTCTCTCTCTCTCTTTCTCTCTTTCTCTCTCTCTCTCTCTCTCTCTCTATCTCTCTCTCTCTCTCTCTCTCTCCCTCTCTCCAGTACATTCTTGAGTAAAGACAATCCCACAAAGCTTACCCAGAAACATTCGCACACATTGATGAATTCACACAGTCATAAATTCTTACAGAACAGAACAGCATGAATAAACGATACTGAGAGAACATAATAGATACTGAAAGAATATATAATATTTGTATTGGGAATGTCGGAAATTACAGATTGAAGCTGGACTGAAACAAATGCGTTTTAAGTGCCGATTTAAATTTTAATAAAGTGGTGGACTCCCGTAGATGAGCTGGTAAAGTGTTCCACAAGGAGGGGGCGTGGTGTGAAAAGGCTCTCCCTCCGAGTCTCTGACTTTTACTTTGGACAGGTCTTAAAAATCTTTTCGTCGCCGATCTTAAAGGCCGAGGTGGTATGTGTGTGTGTATATATATATATATATATGTACTAATTATTTGCAATGACTGAGAAGGTTACACATATACATTTATTCTCTTTTGATACTTTATGTAGAGTCTTCGGTTGCATACATATTTTTCTCGTTTGTTTTGGGGAGATATTTGCTTTGTCTCTAAATCCTGTATTACAAGTTAAAACTGACAGTTGTCTGTCCTCTTTGAGATAAGAAAATGACACATGATGCTATCTCAGCAAAAGTATTTATTTTAGATCTTCCAATTACAGTAAGAAAAAAAGTTATCACAAGTCATTTTGTTAATTTGACATACTGGTTCCGAATATGATATTATTTTTACGTTAAGACCTAGTTTTCAAAGCGTTTACTAATGAGAATGTTATCACCAGCGGCTACAGACTGTCCCAATGCTGGACGCACACAGATCAAGCTATACCTGACTTTTGTTGCGGCCGTCCTATCGGACACTCTGTCACATTTGCAGTCCACTGCTGATAAAATGCTCGTTTGTAAACTCGGTACGTCGTGTTTTACTATCGTATCCATACGACGTGAGGAACTCTGTGCCACCACTTTCCAAAGAGGAAATTTACTCGTTAATCCAATCCGTACGCTTTGCATAGTAGTCTGTCAAAATGATTTTTTGAGAAATACTGAAAGTTTCAAAGAGATCTTCGGACTAAAAGTATTCGAAAAAGTGAAGAATACAAAACCGGGGCTACAAAATGACCCGAGGACGTGTCAAAGTTAATAAAATGACTCGCAAGTGACTTTTTTCCTTGCTGGATTTGGAAGATCACAAAAGAAGTATTTTGTTTTAATTGCTTCACGCATCATTTTCTTTTTACAAAGATTATGGACAACTGCCAGTTTAGACTGAACGTGTAATGAATAGACCAAGAGAGTTGTCCTGTACTCTGTACTTTCGTAGGCTTCTTCTTTCAATTTCTTTCAACACTCTCGGCCAAACAGTGTTGATCTGGTTAGGGCACTTGTGGTATTAGCCGTTGAAAAGGTATTCATTGTATCCACGGAAGATGCAAAAGTATTTGAGAGACTATAAAGAACGTCATAGTATGTACTAAAGTATAATTTACTGTCCATTATGTTTCGAACCTGGGTTGCACAATGTTATGTTGTTTTTTTCTCTTAAAGGTATATTACTCAGTACTGTTTGTTTTGTTGTTTTGGTTGGCGTTGCTTTGTACGCTTTGCACGTAATCATGTAATTGTTATTTTGTAAGGAATTAAGTTACACTTATATGTTTTAACCATCTATTTCTATAGGACTGCAGTTGATTTTGTTCTTCGCAAAATTAAATGTGCTTATTGTTAGTCCTGTGTATGAAGACTTACGCGGAACACATAACAATATGTCCAATTAAAATTCACGTTTAGATGCGGCATAATTCACTGTAATTGTTACAATCAAACAGCAATACAATAAGTATGTTGTAAAGTTCTCGATTCAGTACATACCAAAAAGAACTTGTATCTGATATAAAAAGAATAGGGTAGTTGAAAAATGCTGTCAGCTTAAGGTCTGCTATGGAGTAGCATGCCAGTGTTAAGGGCAAGTGACCCTTCAAATAAACAATAAAAATTCATTTTAAAAAGTGTCTTTCTCTTCTTTCTCGGACCTCCCCCCCCCCTCTCTCTCTCTCTCTCTCTCTCTCTTTCTCTCTCTCTCTCTCTCTCCTCTCTCTCGGCTCCTCTCTCTGTCTCGGTCCTGGGGTAGCATAATGTAAGTCCAATATTAAAAACCCTATTGTAAACATTTATTCAAACGTCTCTTACTTTAAAATCAATATTTGAAACACAAGAAGGATCACAGTGGATTTGGCAGATAGGCAGTGCCAAATTGTATGTCTGTTCAATGATTCAAATTGTGTAAAGTAAAGATGTATATTGTGTGTATGCTGTAAAATACAATCACAGACAAGATCGGATAAAACGAATTTACACAAAGGCATATTTTGGAATAGACATGTTTCATTCTAAGATTTAATTTGAAGATCAGCGTGAAAGTTAACGGTATGGTGAACTTTAAGTTGAATATCGCAGAGAAAGTGGACATGAACTTTAATTTGAGATGTAGATGTCACTGTTGATGTATGATGGATGGCTACAGTGAAGGTTATTGGTAAGCTAGTGTATGAACTTTAAGGCATGAATTTGGGTGAATCTTAAGTTGACATCTGTGTATGAGATGGTGAAAAAGTAAAAGAACAAAAACAATAAAAGGTGAAATTTTACATGTAATGAAGATGAAAGTCAGAGAGAATGAAAATGAAAGTTCAGGTGGATGTGAAGGAAAAAACGACAGAGAAGGAACACAATAAAGCTAGTAGAAACTGATTTAGGACGAAGGATAAATGACTTATATCAAATGTTAGGGAAGTAATTTCGAAAGTGACTTCGAGTTCGAGTTGAAGCATAAACCCAAGCACCTCACATGAAATGTAGGCCGGCATTTTTCCTACGGCTGATCAATAGTCTTGATGGAGATCTCAAACACATCAGCTGACTCATATACTGTGGATAAATGAATAAGAGAGAACACAGTTATGCAGCTCGTACGGGAAATTCTCACACGTGAGCAAAAAATCCCAAAACATTCTACGGATTTTGCAGTGTGATCATGTACTTGTTATCAGCCTACTCTAGCACATACCTGAAGTAGGTGTAGGGAGGACTTGCAACTTGTCGCTGAAGACAACACAACACAGGGAAAAAACCCGCAAGTTATTTTTCTTGCAAACTATTTTAGGGGGGATGTAGAACACCTCCCACCTGGAAAGCTGTTTTCAAACTCTTAAACGGAATAGACGTATTATTTTACTTTACCCCTCATGGATTGGATCCCGGTTTTTGTGTAATGGTCTATGGTCTGCTGGGGTAAAAATATAGTGTAAAGCGCATAGAGCCTTTTGTCGAGCGGGGATATGCGCTATACAAAGGCTATTTATTATCATTAATGTCTTTCGAAATTATATAATTTGTAGATGAACATCCATATTGGACTAACCAAACTGTACTTGAGGAAACATTTGTAAAGGGTACTCCATTGACACAGTTGGTATCGTGCTGGACTATAAGAAACTTGGCCCTGGGTTCGGATCCCCATTTGGGTGTTCTTGAACTTGGGTTGTTTCGGGGAGTTTAAGAAGTTAACCACCCAATTGGCTAGGTCGTATTGAAGATGGACGTTAAATTCGGAGGAGCCACCTCTTAAATAGCATTACCGTGTTGAAAGCGGCGTAGAATCTATACAACAACCAAACAAAATATTGATTAAGACTTAAAGCCTTCTCCTTCAAACATTGCAACCAACCAAGCCATTCTTCATTCCTACCACCTCTCTTTCTCGTCTGACATCCCAGCAATCATCCAAACTGAAAAAAGAATGATGGCCTCGCGTTTGCATACGTTCCGTATTCTAATTCAAAACCTCACACTTGTTTAACCTGTCTTTCGGAGATAAAAGGACAATATGCATTGTACTTATATCAAAACCTCTGACTATCAAGCCATGCAAACTGACTTCTGTTGTCAAGTCGTTGGACGCTTAGCCGTCGCATGAAGAAGATCTGACCGACTCCCGTTAGGGGAGAATTCTTATCGAGTAACTCGCCCTTTCTGCAAGGACATTGTATCCCTCGCAACCCAAGTTATTGAAGGTCCAGATTGAAATCCACCTCTAAAATGTGTCTAAATTGTGTGGATGGGGGTGAAGGAAGACCCATATTAAAAAGTAAACTTTACACTTATCAAGTACTCACTCTGTCTGTCTATCAACTGCCAGATAAACACAGGGAACCCTTGATCCGTCCAATTTGCAGCGCATTGGTCATTGGACGTTGAGTCAAATACAAAGAAGTATCCAGACGTTGTGCCACACTCCTGGGTAGCATCTAAGTAGTAGAATCGTCTTCGGATGTTATCGCCGCTCACCATCCTGTGGTTATTGTTGTTGTTATTGTTATAGTTATTATTGTTGTTTTTTACCAAATGGACTAGTTAAACACTCTACCTGCCTCGAGCTATGAACGAGATTTAGATCGACCTTTATAGAATATCGATTCTTCTAAGTCCTATCGGTCAGTATGATGTTTTGCAACTTGAACCAAGTTTTCATCACTATCCTTTGGATATTGATATTCATATTCTTGACGTTACACACTTAACAAATCTCGAGTTGGGGACGGGTAGTAGGTCGTCCTTAATAGATAACCGATTCTTCTCAAGTCGGAGTCCCGTTGGTTATCAAGAACTCAACCTTCAAACTTAATCAAACTTTTGTTGTTAGGATGGTGCCGCTAATTGGCCTCACTTTTCTACTCTCCATCATTCGTAGTTTCTTTCTATGAGCAGTTGTGCTTTTTCATGATCTAAACAAACGTTATTGTGACGATATACTTCTTTTAACTCATACAACACACACTAAGGCTTTATCAATATACAGTCGAACCTAACCTACTCCTAAGACCACCTGTATGAGACAATCACCTGTACAACCTGCCCTTCCCATTTCCGCCCCGCGTATTTTTAATATTATAATGGCACCGTGTAAGACGGTCACCTGTCTAAGACAACCACTTTTCTCCTCGAAAATGGGTGGCTATCTTAGACAGTTCCGACTGTATTGCATGACAATATTATTATTATATCAAAACTCCAAACGACTTTATTCAATCGTCCGTATTATGTTCTACAGCTTGAACCAAAAATATACTTATTAAAGCTCTGTTTCAAATATATTTTAAAACATATACTTACGGAATCATGTAAACAAACAAAAAGGTTCGAGTTTATGCCCCTTCTAATATACATGCAATTTTTCATGGAGCGTTAGAAATAGACCAAGGATGGCCCAGTGAGCGCGACTAATGTCTAGTGCTAAGTCATTCTGACAAAAGAGAATGTTAAAATAAGGCTTTATATTAGTGGGAAGGATTCTATCTTCTTTTGTGCTTTATTCAGTCTCTGAATCTGTTTGTCTCTCTGTCCTTGTGTCCGTCTGTCTGTGTGTCTGTTTGTCTGTCTGTCCGTCTCCACCCCCTCTCTCTTACTCTCTCACTCTCTCTCTTTCTCTCTCTCTCTCTTCAAACACACACACAAACACACACACGCTCTCTCTCTCTCTCTCTCTCTCTCTCTCTCTCTCTCTCTCTCTCTATCTCTATCTTTCTTACACACACACACACACACACACACACACACACAAACACACACACATACACACAATCTCTCTCCCTCTCTCTCTCACTCTCTCTCACTCTTTCTCTGTCTGTCTGTCTGTCTGTCTCTCTCTCTCGCTTTTGTCCTCTTCTTTCCAATTTCTTTCTATCATCCTCACCCCTCCCCCCCCCCGGCTGTTCACTGTGAGGTGTGAATCAATGCATGTTATGCACGTGAGTGCGAATGTCCACCACTCTGGTTATCGAGTTTTTGCTTAGCTGCCATGCAAAACTAAAAGAATAAACCCGAGACATGAAAGACTTTGACTTACCCCCGAATATCGTAGTGAACATTTCTGTTGCCTCCCCAGTCAGGTGCGAGCCAAGAGTCCACTGTAGTACGAGGTGCACTGAATGAATACGTCTGTCTTCCGAAACCGTTTTTATACATATCGATATATACCTGGGAGAGAATATAAGTGATGCGTGTCTCCATGAGGGAGAATGCGTGGGGTGAAGCGATGTTGGTCATAGGTAAATAGATATTGACTGGCCGAGCAACCTGACTGACTGACTGACTGACTCACTCACTCACTCACTCACTCACTCACTCACTCACTCACTCACTCACTCACTCACTCACTCACTCACTCACTCACTCACTCACTCACTCACTCACTCACTCACTTACTCACTCATTCATTCTCAAATTCAGTCCACAAGGCAAAAGAGCGTGAGACAGGGATTTTTGAAATAATATAATAACCACACAATATTACAATACGTAAAACTAGACATGGGGGGGGGGGGGGGCGTTAATGCAATGGTAAGAGACACACGTGTAGAGGATATACAAGTAGTTTGAACATGGTATGTGGGTAAAGAAAAATTAATGAAAGTGGAGGGTGTCTCACAGAATGGCGAAGAGAAAATAATCTGAAGATTTTATATACCTGGTTTGAAAATCACCCAAGAAAGCGATTCACATGAAAGAGCCCTTGAGATAGAACAATAAACCAACCTGACTTTATATTCATACAAACGTAAGCTATAAAATAATCCAAATCATTTTGAGCAGAAGATTGCAGTCGTGACCATGTACGAGTCATGTGGAACATGAAGAGAATTTGAAAACACCCATCCAAAATTTTAAGAGAAAATTGTTAAAGTAAAAAAGAAAAGTTGTTCCTGCATCCGATCCGGACATTGCCTTGTTAGTGAGACAACTTCCTGGGCCTTCAGCATATTGTGGTAGGGTGGCCAGTTCCTTTCCCGGCCGCCTTTATTTCCCAAACTCGTAGTCAGGTACCCATTACTGCTTGGTGGGCAGGAGGGGGCGAAAAAAAGCCCTGTCCGAACCAAGGCTCGAACCCGGACTTTCGGCTTCCGAGACGAGCGCACTAACCGCTCCGTCACTTTTGCCAAAGTTCCAAACCAAATTTGAAGTTGATATTTTAAAGACAGTTTAGCTCTGTCCCTGACGAAGGTGCGCGAAGTTCGTTATTCCCCGTAATAATAGTAATTGAAAGATGTATTGAAGAGCAGAAAAATCGGTGTTTGTGCTTCATTAATTATTTAAGATGAACTGTTAAAGATTTTGGAAATGCTAGCCATAGATGGAAAGGATCTAAGAACTATTACACATTTGTACAGGGACTAAAACGCTGCTGTAAAACCTGAAGGTGAGTACCACAGGTATAAATAAGCAAATTTCAAAATGAGGTAGACAAGGATACGTTATATCAGCATACCTCTTTAGTATAATATTGGAACGATATGTAGAAAAATAAAAGAAAGTCTAAGTTTCAAAGGGAATTGAAAGTATAAATAACACCAAATATCCCGATGAAAAACAATAAATCGCAGATTCAGTAAAGACCTTTAATTACTTCTGGATTGAAACAGAATGTATGGAAATATCTAAAAATGCAGTATTTCCTACTTTCTATTATCATAGGCATAAGCAACAAGACAAAATAGTTTAACAGTTTGAATATTTAAGATATATAATTATATCCGAAACTAAAGATAGTTCCAAAGAAAGTGTTCCAATCTTGAATAACAAAACATCTCAGTGACTTCCAAAATAAAAATTCTAAAAGGTTTTGTGTGATCAACATTCTTCTTTGCTGTGAATGCTGGCAATACCCAAAGACAGTGAAAATAAAAGCATCTGAAAAGTGGTTTCTTAAGACCCTGTTAAAAATTTACTGGACGGAAAATATAAAAAAGGTAGTCCTAAAAGTGCATGAGGGCTGCTTATTACTAAAAAAACATTTGGCAAGAGCAAAATAAAAGGAACAGTCCTTGGGGCACTTTAAACAACATAAAGCCCTGGTACATCTTGCTTTCATCGGGAAAATAGAAGGCTAACGAAGTAGAGGCAGATCAAGACCAACTTACTTGAAAAACTTTAGCAGACGGAGGAAACCAGGACAAGGAAAAAATATTGGGTTGGGTTTTTTTTTTTTATGAGAGTATCTGAGCAAAGGAAAAACAACAACTTAAAAAAAAACCCAACAAAATATATTTTAAAAAACTAAATGGCCAAACGTGATCGCAGAAGTCAAGTTCAGATCTGACACTTTATGATGACGATGATGACGATGATAATGATGGTGATGATGATGTTTACATAATAGTATATTGTATTATGTAGTATATATATATATATGTATATATATT